CACGTTCAGCAAAAAAAAAAAGGAGGTAAAACAAATACTTCACTACCTGTAGTTTTTCTGCTTCTTTGTTTCGTTTAGATTAGTGAAAAATTCAAACTGAAAAATTACCACTTCCGGTTATCGGAAATCACTCAAAAGTTTATACGGATCTACGATTTTGATTAAAATACTTATATATGAAATTTCATCAACTTAGCTGTAACGGTACTCAAGTTATCGTGTTTACAGACACACACACAAACAAACACACAGACATACACACAGGCATACGGATAAGATTGCAAAAATATGTTTTTTCCGACTCAGGGAGGTGTAAAACGTCGAGATTTGTAAAATCTGGGATTTTTTTTTTGCACGATTACAAGACTTTCTCTATACTTCGTATATACTTTTCTGCAGCAAACATCTTTTTAGGGTGGTGAATTAAGAGTGTAAGTTTTATTTTAGGGGAGGGTGGGGGTGAGTAGTTTGATTTCCTCACTTCCGGCTTCAATTTGACCGGCATTTTAAGACATTCTAAACGACGTGCGTGTTTTCGTGCGTGAGTGCTTGTGTAGATGCGCGTGTATATGCGTGCGTGCGTGTTCGTTCGTGCGTGCGGTTATGCAGTTCTGATGATGTAGACTGTCCTATATGGATAACCGATGTGTCTCTAATCTAATAATCCTACGATGAACACATTTAGTTTAGAAACCAAAGACCACAAAAGACAATTTTGAATCGTCTTTAACAATAGCATGTAGTATAATTTAAAGGAAAAAAGAACGATAATCCCAGAAGCTGATGTGGAAAATAAAATAATATTCAAAGCAGAAAATATTAGGGACTTGTATACACAAGCATTGAAAGTGATTTCGCAAAGGTAAATTGGGTACTAACATGGATGATTTAATCTTGCTATTAAATATGCAATAATTTACCTCCCATCCAGATTTTCAAAAAAACAAGGGAGACAATGTCTAATTAATAGCTATAATTATTTTTAATCTTTGGCGCAATTATAGACTACATAAATTAAGATCTATAATATTACACTATACGTATTTATAATTATTTTATTAACTTTTGAATTCAAATACTAAATTTTTATAAGTATTAGCTTAAAATACTGAAGTAGTTAAAACTCTACCACCGAGCTTTTCGTTAAGAATAGCTTGGTCATTTCACTCAAAATACAAATTTGTCTGTTAGAATGTTTAAATAATATAAAATTTTGGATGCATCTAAAAAAGGACAGTAACAAAATGCAAAAAATGTTAGGGTTTGCAACCAAATTCCTGTTCTCCGCCTCTAATGTATAGCTATTAAAATAGTTGTGTTGTTTATTTTTTTTTACTTTTTAGTGCATTACATCAAAAGGTTGTTACTTTAAAGTATTATATGAATTTCTATTCTGCTACTCGGTTTTTGTTTAGATTTTATACCGTTTACTTTTTGGTATTGTTATTTTCTAATTTGTCTGCAAAATAATCTATTTTAAGTGTGTTGAACTAGACCTCACGCCAAGCAACCAGCAAAACTTCCCAATCGAAATAGCAGCATCGAGCCCAAAAACACCGCCCAAAAAAAAGCCCCCAGCACAAAAACCAACGCCACTCGACCTGTCAGCAACAACACCAAGTAGCCAACAAGCAACCACAGCAGATGAACCAACTACCTCAAGTACAAGCATAGAGGCCTCTGTAACCATCAAATCAACTGCTTCAAAAATATCTATACCAAAATTTACATCACCACTCGCGCTGAGCCAGAACACCTTTACTTTCACAGCGAAGCCAAACTCTACCAACATCAATCAAAATGCAGAAATGAGCGACAGCGCAAGCACAAAAAGGAAAAAGGAAGTTAGCCCTACATACACAGAACAAACAACAAAAAGTCAAAAAACAGATAAACCATCTTTTGACTACAAAAATTGCAAATTCTGCACCGAAAAGTTCCCCATTTGGAAAATGAGGGAAGAGCACGAGGGAAATGTACATTGGGAGATCTTAATGTGTCCCAAGTGCAAAATGTGCTACCCAAACATTCTTGAACACTATACGAAAAGACACCCGAAAGAGACTATCTACTACTGTCATTACTGCAGTGTGCGCCTCCCCTTGGAGCCTATGAAGGCACATACGGAGTGCCACCACCCGTCACCTCAACAACATGGTACACCTTGAACTGATATACGAAACGCATGAAAATTACATTGTAAAATTTTATAGACGTTTTGTATAAGAAACAACTTGTATTATATGTACGTAATTTTATGCAAACCTACTCTTGCTGCCACCCCTTAGTAAAGGAAAAGCAGCAAGAGAGGAACAATATTAAAACGCCAACCGGCAAGAGAAAAAAAAAGTATCTGTTCTTAAAAAAAAAAAAAAAAAAAAAAGGACAGTAACAAAATGCAAAAAATGTTAGGGTTTGCAACCAAATTCCTGTTCTCCGCCTCTCATGTATAGCTATTAGAATAGTTGTGTGTTGATTTTTTTTTTTACTTTTTAGTGCATTATATCAAAAGGTCGTTACTTTAAAGTATTATATGAATTTCTATTCTGCTACTCGGTTTTTGTTTAGATTTTATACCGTTTACTTTTTGGTATTGTTATTTTCTAATTTGTCTGCAAAATAATCTATTTTAAGTGTGTTGAACTAAAAGTATATGTTTAATATTGAGAATTATTTGGGGGAGGGGGTGGCGAAAAGTTTATTCTCCTTGGTTACGGTTTCACTTTTACGGGCTGTTTCAGACTATCTATACGACGTGAGTGAGTGTGTGCGTGAGTGTGTGTGTATATATACTAATACTAAATACCAAATTCTAATTTTTTATAAGCAGTAGCTTAAAAAACTTTAGAAGTTTAAAATAAACACATTACCTTTAAGTAAAGAATAATCTGGTCATTTTAATCAAATTACTTTCAATAGAGTTTGGTGCTGAAATTTGTAAACAATGTAAAATTTTGGATCCCTTATAAAAAGGGGCTGTAAATAAATCCAAAAGAAGTCGGTTCTTTACAAAACGTCCTGTTCCTCATTCTTCTGGTTAAGTGCCTCCCCAAAAATTGTACTCCTAAAGTAATGTCTAACTTGTTTGTCATTTATTCCCAGGTCAAACCCCCATTATAATTACATTCATCAACATCACAGCAAACAAAACACAAGTGAAAGCGGGTACTTCACTACCCGTAGATTTTCTGCTACTTTGTTTCGTTTAAATTTGATACCAGTTACTATTTTATATTGATATTTTCTAATTTTTCTTAAACTGAAGTCTTTCTACGGCGTTGAAGTAATACTAAATGTTTCTTACTGAGAAATTTTTGAAGAGGGAGAGGATATGGATTTTAATCTCCTCGCTTTCGGTTTTATTTCTACGTGTAGTTTCAGATATTCTGAACGACATGCGTGTGTACACTCAGTGTGTGCATGTGTATATGCGCGTGGAAATGCGTGCACTTGCGCGCGTGCTGTTGTGCGGATGTGATGGTGTAGACTTCCAAAAATAGATAACCCAGATATCTCATGATCAATCTATCCTACAATAAATAAGTTTAGTTTACAAATCCAAGACCACAATTCGATCGTCATTAACAATAGCATGTAGTAAAATGTTAATAATCCAACTATAATCTTATCTGCTGATGTGAAAACAATGCATGTTAAAAGCAGAAAATATAAGGGACTTGTACAAAATAGCCTTGTAAGTGATTAAGGAAAAGTAATTTTAGTTACAAATGCAGATGATATTTAATCTCGCGTTTGCCAGGGCAATAAGTTACCTCCCATTGGTGATTAAAACATGGCAAGGGAGACAATGTTTAGCTAAATAGTTATAATTTTAAAAAAAATTAACGCAATTACTGATAGCGCAAGTTAAGAACTGTAATGTCGGTATAAACGTATTACTATTTACTTGATTAAAGTGAGTAATAAAATACTATATTTTGATACGCAGTAGTTTAAAATACTGAAGTAATTTAAAATGAAACACAGTCGATTTACCTAAAGAATAGTCTTGTTATTTTAAATACCTTACTTTCTTTTAAGAGTTATTTTAACTGAACACTACTTTAATTTTGGATCCCTGATTGAAAGGGATAGTAAATAAATCCAAATGACAAACTGCAAAGCAAAGGAGCTTACCATATTCATTGTTTTTTGTGCAACTTGATATTTTTAGCCAATAAGCTAAAAAAAAATTCATCGGTGTTCTTCTAGCGCTTTGAAGGAGTTTAGCCTGAAATGAGCAGTTTCCAGAACCTTTTAAATACAACAACTAACGGCCATCCTGGCACAAGCAGCCCAAATCCTTCTACTCAGAATACAGCTACAAGCAACTCAACAGCAATCATGAATATTGGTCCAATGAGTTCACCCATCATCATGGCAACTAACAGCAGCCCTATTATGGCTAGATCTCAGCAGTCAGTTCAGTCTATGCCAGAGCAGATTATAGTTCCTGTTGGGAATGTCATGGGCGCATCAAAACTTTTAGAATCAAGGCAGGCTGCAGCATCACAAGCTGCAGCAGCTAATGCTGCTGCTCAAGGAGCCTCAGGGTCTGAAACTAAAGGGGTTCTAGACAAGTCACGCTTAAGGGATTTGGTTAAAGAAGTAGATCCTCTTGAGCAGATGGATGATGATGTAGAAGATGTTCTATTGCAAGTTGCTGATGATTTTATTGAAAATGTTGTGGCAGCATCATGTCAGTTAGCAAAACATAGGCGCTCCAATACTTTAGAAGCAAAGGATGTGCAGCTGTATTTAGAACGCAACTGGAACATACAAATTCCTGGTTTCGGTTCTGAGGAGATTCGTCCATATAAGAAATCTATAACAACAGAAGCTCATAAACAAAGAATGGCCTTGATAAGGAAAACATTGAAAAGATATTAACTCAGTTTATTTTTGTAGATATGTATGAATGGTTATGTAAATACTTTTGAGAAAATTGTTAGCTTCATTTTTGTTTTAGTAGTATGCTACCTATCTACTATATAGTCTATATGTGCAATGCCGGCAGTATAAATCAAGAAGTCTCCAGAAGACTAATAGAAGTGAGGGAGAATGTAATAGACAGGCTTGTTCTGTTTGCTATTGAGGATTTATATGTATGTACAGTGTTTGGCTATATTTACTTGCCTGAATTCATTAATTGCAAGATATCGTAAATTATAATAAAACAAAATCAATCAAAAAAAAATAAATAAATAAATAAATAAATCCAAATGAAGTAGGCTCTGCAAAATCATCCTCGTTTCTTTTCTCCTCGTTCAGTACCTCCCCAACAAAATTACTCCTTAAGTTATGTCAAGGCAGTAACAATTCTGTCGTTTACCTCAGATCAAACCTGCAGTATAATTACATTCATCAACATCACAGCAAACAGACCACACGTAAAAGCGAATATTTCACTATCATTAATATTTCTGCTACTTTGTTTGGTTAAGATTTTATACCAGTTACTATTTTCTGTGAGCTACCAATAATGCAAGGATAAATTGATACTTTCTAATTTGTCTGCAACTTAAGTCTTGTTAAGAGGTTGAAATAATAGTTAAAGTTTGATATTGAGAATCATTCAGGAAAGGCGGGGGGGGGGGGAGTTTCTCCCCGCTTCCAGTTTCACTTTGACGGGCCGTTTCCGTAAATCTATACGATGTGCGTGTGTGCGTGCGCGTGTGTGTATATGCGTGCGCGTGTGTTCTTGCGGGCGTGCGAGTGTTTTAGATGCTTTTAAATCACTCTATATTACGAATCAAATTATGGTTTAGCTCCCTTTACGATTATAAAATTAACGAGTGAGTTCAGATGTTATGATAGATTATAAATATTTATCATGGTGTCTCCACCTCTCCCCCCTTCCTGCTACCCCACAGGTAACGGTACACACCTGGACCTGAGTCCAGCGGTATTGTAAGGCTGACCGGGGCTCGACCTCAGACTGCGGTCGTGAGGGCGGAGCCTAAGTCATGTGACCTGTAGGGTAGGGACGCTACAGTCCGGTCACTCTACCTTCTCCCCTCTTCGGAGGTACACGTTTTTTTTGGTGCTAAGGCACTAGCGAACATAAAATAGTATACATATTTTGGTGCTACGGCACTTGTTCTCCTCGGAGAAATTAAACGTACGTTGGCAACGTGTGTAGAGGGTTGTGTGGCTTCATTGGAAGGTAATTTACTCTTACTTTTATTAGCTGTAATGTTATAATATTAATTAATAAGTATGGAATGAGTATAAAACAATGTATGAATGAAAAGCATATTTTCTAGTAATGTTTATTGTAGGCCTTATGTAAGGCTAATGTAAATGTATTATCTTTGTAACAATTGTAAACTTGTATGTGTCTGAATGAATGTGTATATCACACATATGTTAGGAAGTTGTCACATGTATTTTACAGCCGGCCAGCTTGGGGCTAAAACTTAGTACAGAGGTCTGTGTGTGAGGAAGTGTGACCACGCCGCCCTGAAGACCAGTCGCCCCCTTCCAGGCTACTTTAAATTGTATCATTATTCATATGCCAATAATTAATGTATTAATAAAAGTTAAAGGATTGTGAAACTGAGTTAATTACTCAATCATAATTTTAACCCTTTTCACTGAGCCAAATATCGGCAATCAGTCACTAATAATAACACAACATTAATAAACGCAATATTAACTATTAAGAAACCTCTTGTCCAACGAGACAAACCCTAGACTAAACAGGTCATTCTGTAGCTGCGGCTATAACTATTTATGTGCGGTATGACTCGCTAGAGCATATTTGCCACATCAGACACAGACGGCAGTGTGAGTAGAAACTTGAGTTCACGAGTGTGTTTGACAATATTGTGATCTAAACTAACACACACTCCACTAGTTCAACAAAACCCAACTACAAAACAACAATAGAAATTATATACAAATTGATACTTCTGTTTAAAAGTCTTTTTTCTTTTTTAATTTAATTTTTTTGATAGTTTTGAACCCAGCCTGTTTATTATATTTAGTAATAGTTCCTGTCAAATAACATGTTAAAGTAATAAGTTGTGTTAGTTAGAGTGTGTTAGTTAGAGCGTGCGTGTGTGTGTGTGTAAATGCGTGCGAGCGTGCGGGTGTTTTCAGATGCTTTTAAATCATCCTTTATTTCTAGTCAAGTATGGTTCAGTTTCCTCTCCGATTATAAAATGTAGGCATGTTAATGAGTGAGTTCAGGCAAATGACGCTGTGTGAGTAAAAACATGAGTTCACGAGTGTTATTAACAATGACGCAAGTTGTGCCAAAAGTTTAACTACAAAACAACAAGAGAAAGTATACCCAAGTTGATACTTCTATTTATAATGCTTTTTAAAACCTTTTTAGATAATTTAACCCAGCCTAATTGTTGTATTTAGTAATAGTTTCTGACATGATTATTCTAAAGCAGTGAATGTATTAAAGTAATACGTTTTCTGAAATTTTATAAAATATTTTTTTTTTCATTTTCCAATTTGTCGGTTAATCAGCTGAAAAATCATTATTCTTGGGCAGTGATCGTTTTAGTGTGTAGGTGTGTGTGTGGGGGGGGGGGGGGGGGAAGGGGGGGGGGAGTACCTACAAGTACATTGCTATTATATTTGTCACTTGAATTAATTTTTTATGAACACTGTTACTTTATAACGGTTGTAAAGTAGAAAATATAATGATAAATAAAAGGCAAAAAACGCATGAAAGTTATATAATAAAATAACAGTAATAAAACGCTTTGTCTATACCTGTGCTAGAAGTTATTAAATTAAGTACAGTCATTTTGTAAAATACTTACATCCTTGTGTAAGTCTTTTGAAACACCGCGCACACGAAATACACATTAAACACCAGTTGTTTTTTTACCTTAGATGGAACTTTGGGGCCAATATATCTACCACTATTCTACTTTGATTACTTCAATACAATACAGCTGGGACTACCACAAGCATGATCTTCATCGCCAAAATGGACATGAAACACAGTCTCACACACACACACACACACACACGAACACAATGAAACAGATTCACATACAGTCATAAACACACACACACACACACTTACGTTAATCGTTGAGAAAACCGAGAGCCTCTCTGCGCAAAGCAGATCTGATTGGACAGCTCAATCATCAACTTTAGTGTTCACCATATCGATTATCACCGTCATAATTCAATTTTGAATCGTCTTTACCAATAGTATGTAGTATAGTGTATATAAACAAACGATAATCCCAAGTGGAAAATAAATGAACTGTTAAAATATAAGGTAAATTTTGTATAAAAATCAAGATGATTTTACCTCGCCTTTATCTTTGCTATAATTACCTCCCATATGTATATTTAAAAATATAACAAGGGAGACAATGTTTATCTAAATAATTAAATTAAAAAAAAAAAATGACGGGATTATTAATAACGTTCCTTAAGAACTATATTATTAGGCTAAAAGCATTTTTGTTTGCTTTATTTACATGTTGTAATAAAATACTAAATGTTGATAACTTATAGAAAATATTGAAGTAATTTATAAAACTAAATACATTGGCTTTAGGTAAAGAATAGTCTGATAAGTAGAATCAAATTTCTTTACCTATTTGTTCTATGTCAATGAAGCAAACTCAATTTTTGGATCCCTGATATTAAAAAAAAAAAAAAAAAAAAAAAAAAAAACTGATATAAAGGGACAGTAAATTAAGGCAAATGTTGTTGGTTCTGCAACATTACCCGCGTTCACCAATTCCACTTTCACTGCCTCTCCCAAACAACTTATTCCCAAAGTAATGTTCAACTTCACAGTAACCCCTCTGTCCTTTACCCCCACATCAACATCAGTCTCTGAATGTCCTTACCAGCGCAGCGCCTCTTCCAGACATCCTTGTCCTGGGGGGATAGGAGCACTTGATATTTTCGGGGGCGGAAACCATCCGGGGTGGGGGGGGGGGGGGTGGGAGGACATTCACCGGAGGGGGGGCGGCATCCTTCGGGGGGGGGGGGAGGACACTTGTAAAAGTTAATGTTTTCTATATAAATTCGATTTCGTTCGGGGAGAGGGCGGCAGACTCCCTTCGTGGGGGGGGGGGCGGGGGGGGGGACATATGTCCCCGGGCGCCGACCTTAGGGGGCGCAAAAAATGGGTTGGAAAAATAAATTGAAAGGTTGAGGGGGGTGCAAATCGAAAAGTTTTTCCCCGGGCGCCGGAAAGGGTCGATACGCCTCTGGTGCTAAGCCCTGAGAGATGTGTGGAAGAAACTAGTCCATACTATGGCCGATCTCAGTTATTGAATGTTTTACTATAGCCCAAACGCAATTATTTATTGTTTTTATTATTGCCCATCTCAATCTGTTAATGTCTCTACTGTGGTCCATCTTAGTCTGTTAATTGTTGTTACATATTTAGCTAATGCACCAGGTAGAATGTTTAGGCAGTTTTCTAGGAAATTTGTGCAATTTTACATCAGACAGCCATACACCGCTTAAAGCCATATCTTTAAAAACAATGTTTGTCACTTTTGCATTAACACCATCATAACACCATATTAAATCGTCTTTAACAATAATAGCATATAGTATAATGTAAGTAAACAAACGATAATCCCATCTGCATATGTGGAAAATAAATGAACTGTTAAAAGCCAAAATTTTAGGGACTAGTACACACATGCATTGTGCGTACAAATGTAGATGATTTAATCTCTCGTTTGTCCGGGCAATAAATCACCTCCCATTTGTTATTTAAAAATGTAACAGGGGAAATAATGTTTATCTAAATAGCTAGAATTTAAAGCAACATGAACGCAACTATAGATAACGCTACTAAAGATATATAATATCAGAATATACGTTTTGTTCTTAACTTTATTATCATTAATAATCAAATACTAAATTTTAATAAGAAATAGCTTAATATACTGAAGTATTTTAAATTCAAACACATTAGCTTTACTTAGAGAATAGTTTGATAATTAAAATCAAATTACATTCTATCATTTCATAATTCCTTAAATCTATACTCTATAAATAATTTTGGATCCCTTAAAAAAAGGGACTACCAGTCTAACAAAATGCAAATGAAGAAAGGTCTGCAGCTTTACCCCTGTTCCCAAGTATCAATGTTCACTGCCTCTTCAACAAAAGTACTCCCAAAATAATGTATAACTTGGCAGTGACCCATCTGTGTAAGTTTAAAATTGAGAATTATTCGTGGAGGGAGGGGGTGAGAAGCTTATTCTCCTCGCTTCCGGTTTCACTTTGACGGACCGCTTCAAACATTCTATACGATCTATACGTGCGTGTGTGTATTCTCGTGCTTATGCGTGCGCGCGTGTTTTTGGGGGTGAGCAGTTATTTTGGATGCTTTTAAATTATACTTTGTTATGAACCAAATATAGTTTAGTTCACTCTACGATTATAAAATGTAGGCATATTAATGAGTGAGTTCAGACGCAGGAGTCAGTGTGAGGAGAAATATGAGTTCTCGAGTGTGTTTGACAATATTGTGATCAAAACTAATACACGCTCCACTAATTGGAAGAAAACATAACTACAAAACAACTAAAGAAAGTATACCCAAGTTGATACTTCTGTTTGAAAGAATTTTTAAAATACTTTTTAGATAATTTCGAACCTAGCCTATGTATTGTATTTAGTAGTAGTTCCTGTCCAATAACATATTAAAGTAATAAGTTTTCTGAAATTTTATAAATTAAAATTTTCTTTCATTTTTCAATGTGTTGGTTAATCTGCTGAAAAATGTTTATTCTTGAGCAGTGATCGTGTAAGTGTGTAAGTGTGTGTGGAGGGGGGGGGGATACCTACAAGTACATTGTTATTATACTTGTCACTTGAATTCATTTTTTATGAACAAGTTTACTTTATAACGGTTGTAAAGTAGAAAATATAATGATAAAAAAAAGGAAAAAAAAGCATGAAAGTTAAATATAAAATAACAGTAATACAACGCTTTGTCTATACCTTTGCTAGTTGTTATTAAATTAAGTAACCTACAGACATTTTGTAAAATACAATCATCCTTGTGTCAGTCTTTTAAAACACCTTTTTTAAAAAAACATGTTGCTCACCAGTTTTTTACCCGCATATCTACCACTATTCCACTTTGATAACTTCAACACAGTACAGCTGTGACTACCATATTCAAGATTTTTACCACCAAAATGAACACTCACACGGTCACACACATACACTCACACACACACACGCGCGCATAATCACAGACACACAGACACATATACACACAGTTTCACACACACAGACACACACAGGCACACAACCACACACAGTCACACACACAATCACGCATTCACACATTTTCTTACACACACACACACACACACACACACATACTTTCGTTAATCATTGTGAAAACTGTATAAAGCAGATTAGATTGGACAGCTTAATCATCAAGTTTAAGGTTCAACCTATCGATTAACAACATGACAATTCAATTTTGAGTCGCCTTTAAAAATGTCATGTAGTAAAATGTAAATAAAAAACGATAATCTGCTGATGTCTAAAAAAATGAACTGTTAAAAGCAGAAACTGTAGGGGACTTGTGCACACATGCCTTGAAAGTTATTTCACAAAGGTAAATTTGAATACAAATGCAGATCATTAAATTTATCATGTCAATAAGTTACCTCCCTTCCGTTATTAAAAATAAAAAGGGAGACAATTTATAATTAAATAGCTACAATTAAAATAAAAAAAACACTAACGAAAATATTCATAACGCAACTAAAGATCTATAATATCAGATTAAACGTATAGTTATTTACTTTTTTGACTTTTGTAACCAAATACTACATTTAACAAGCAGTAGCTTAAAATTCTGAAGTATTTTAAACTGATAAACATTAGCTATACATAAAGAATTGTTTGGTCATTTTAATCAAATTACGTTCAAAACCGATGTAATTTATATGTTCATGAATAAAATTTTGGATCCCTGATAAAACGGGACAGTAAATAAATGCACATGAAGAAGGTTCTAAATAACACAACACCTGTTCCCCATTCTCCCAAAAGTGCCCCCCCCCCCCCACACCAACAACCTTACTCCCAAAGCAATGTCTAACTTTGGCAGTAAACCCTTCTGTCGTTTACCACCAGATCAAATCTCCAGTATATTATTTACATTCATCAACATCACAGCAAACAAAACACAAAAAACAAAAGTTTGGTACTTCATTATCCGCAGTTTGTCTGCTACTTTGTTTCGTTAAGATTTGATACCAGTTACTATTTTGTAATATTTTCTAATTTTTTCTTCAACTTTAAGTTTTGTTAGGACGTTGAACTAATAGTTCAAGTTTATTATTGAGAATTATTTGGGGAGGGATAGGGTGTGTATTTTATTCTCTTCACCTCTGGTTTCACTTTGACGGACCGTCTCAGACATTCTATACGACGTGCGTGTGTGTGTGTGCGTGAGTGTGTGTGTGTAAGTGTGTGCGTGTGTGCGTGCGTGCCTGTGTGAGCGTGAGCGTGTATTTGCAAAAGCTGGTAAAAGTATATATTATTTTCAATAGAAATATTATTTCGTTAGCTGTGCATCCTTCAAGTGTTTCTTCCAGACTTGTTCTTTGGGGGGGGGGGGGGGGGGGGGCACTTGAAATTCTTGGGGGGGGGGGGGGGGGAACACTTTAAAATATATATTTTCAATGTTGATTCCATTTCGTTCGGAGGTCTATGCCCCCCTTCCCCCCTCCCCCAAAAGATGCCCAGAGTTTCTTCCAGGCATCTCTTCTCTGCCCCCCGAAAAAAGTCTACCGCCCCCCCCCCCCCCCCCGGAAAATTTCAAGTGCCTCCCTCCCCGGAGAAAAAAGTCTGGAAGACACACTGGAGATACCTGGAAGAAACACTGCCCCCCCCCCCCTCCCCGCGCGAAGAGATGCCTGAAACAGTGTTTCTTCCAGACTTTTCTCTGGGGGGGGGGGGGGCACTTGAAATTTTCGGGAGGGCGGTCAACATTTTTCGGGGGGGGGGGGCGGACACTAGTAAAAGTGTATGCTTACTATATAAAATCCATCTCGTTCGGGGGTGCGGTAGACCCGAAGAGATGCCTGGAAGAAACTCTGGCCTGATATAAGCACATCTAATGGAACCTCCCACAATTCACTTCTGCAGGTCGTCTGGAGGCGTGTGACGGGCGAGAAGTACCTGACCGTCGGCAAGTACGTCTTCACCAAGGACCACCGCATCAAGGTCGAGTTCAGCACCAAGGACAATGACGTCACTTCCTGGGATTTATACATACGCCATGTGCGGGAGGACGACGCCGGGATCTACGAGTGTCAGATGACGTCATCGACGACGCTGACGCGGCTCGTGGAGTTAAAAATAGAAGGTGAGAGGTCACGTGTGTGTAGTGTTCAGTGTTTTTTCCAGACTTTTTTGGGGGGTAGGGGGGGGGGGGCGGACACTGTTAAAAGTACATATTTTCTATATAAATTCCATTTCGTTCGGGTGAGGGGAGGCGGGGGGCACAAACTCTGGTAGTGTTATATGAAAATACTCTATTCTTAAAATGAGTGGTTGAAATTTTGAGTTTAATGGAGAGATATGTGCTGTAATTGTAATGATTTATGGAAGGGTACGTTCATTGTACTTATGGAATGGTGGGGTCATTTGACTTATGGAATTGTGGGGTCATTTAACTTATGGGACGGTGGGGTAATTTACTTATGGAAGGGTGGGGTCATTTGACTAATGGAAGGTTGGGATCGAATGACTTATGGAATTGTGGGTTCAAATAACATGGAAAGATGGGGTCAATAGACTTACGACATTTTTGGGGTCAAATGACAATGGAACAATTGGGTCAACAGTCGAGAAGTTGGTGGCTAGCCTGGAAGTCTGGAATTCGAGTCTATGCAGAGTCTAAAGAGCGAAGCTTGTTGCAGCCTGATGTGATTCTGAACATTGTCAACAACAACAACAGAAAAAAGCTAACGTTCTGTTCGCATAGAAAGACCTGAGCTGGATATTCTAATAAACTGGCACACCAGACTAACCATACACCTAATCTAAATGAAATCAAGATACGAACTGATACTATTGTATTTACATAAATATCTCGAAGTGGAAAATGAAAGTTCAATAAACACATCTGATCATATGTTTTATAGGGAAACAATATTATTTAAATACATTTAGCTTATGTTCACATGTATATTACGGTAACTGGCTGTCTTCTTCTCCGTTTCATTAAATAAGAGTAAATAAAGAAAAAGTGGGTTTCTGCAGTGGAAATGGAATACTTGTTGTAATCCAGACCATGTTTTATCTCATTACAGAGGTCAAGTCACGAGTTAATAAGGAGGTCACGCAGATTCCAACCCCAACAACACAAGCCCCGTACGTTACTGCCAAGAAGATACCTCTCAGTAAGTGGACACACACACATCATTTACCGCTACATACATACAAAAAATAATACAGGCATATGATTTAACATACATATATGCAAATATCAGTGAGATAGGGAAAAGGTGAAAGGGGTTATAACCCCCACTCCCGTTAATTTCTTTGAATTCATTGTGGAGTGTGTGTATGTGTATATATATATATATATATATATGTATATATATATATATATACATGCGTGATAACCGAAGTGTGTTCTACCTCATTATTTCGGTGAGTGATTAATGTACATTCAAGGTTTTCATGCGGTAGTGTAGGAAAACCTGTGTCCCGATAATTATTATCCAAGCGCAAGCATTGTTTACATTTAAATAACACAGTTTTAGAAAAGAAGGACACGCGTTTAAGAACATATGATCGGTAATGCTTTGGTGATATCATTCTAATATATTTCGTCAGACTTTCTTCTATCCCCGCGGCAACGCGCGGTGGTCGGGTACGCTAGTATATATATATATGCATATATATATATATATATATATATATATATATATATATATATATATATATATATATATATATATATATATATATATATATATATATATATATATTGGTTGTGTCTACAGCAGAGAGACCGAGGCGGCCAGATAAAGAAGAGTTTGTCACTGCTGGTCAGCCCATACGACTCCTCTGCAACGTGTCTCTAGCCAACCAGACACTGCCCAGGTCACGCATCGAGTGGTACAAGGACGGCAGGTCCCTCATGTCTGACCAACATTCCTACGTCACAAGGTATGTTTCGACGCTCTTTGTGACTAGCTCGCTTTGTTAGCTAGAGCTTTGTTACTAGCTCGCTTTGAAACTGGCTTCCTTTTTTTCAGTTTTTCTTTCGGCCTATCTTTGAGGGGAGGGGGGTAATACTTTCTCACACTGTCATGCAATCCCCCCCCCTCCCGTACGAAATAAAATGTATATAGAAAATATATAATTTTAACATTGTCCGTCCCCCCCCCCCCCCTCCCCGGAATATCTAGTCCCCACTACCTCTCTGAAAGAAACACGTCTTTAGCTATGTGATCGTTGTGCACTCTCCGATGATGTAGTCTAAAATGTTCCTACATATTAAGCAGATAATATATATTATATTGATGCAATCTCGAAGCTGCCTATATAATCAGAGTTTTAAAATACCCAAAATTCAATCTGGGACATTAAGTTCAATGTGCTATGTTTAATATTAATACGCTTATTATAACTGTAATAAGACGATCAACATAAATGTAAATACTACCTGTACGCCGTACGGTGTATATTCAAAGGGGGGCAATCAAAGAAATGTTTTTATCTGAACAAAGTCATAAAGAGGTGGTCTCTCTTTGAACATAAAATATTATCTCCCATCCCTTGTAAAAAAATAATATCAATTCACCTTTGTACCTCTTTTTCATCCGGTAACATTCTCTAACCTCCTAAATGTTAAACAGTCGCACATTTTTCTCCGCCACAAAATATTAAACATATCAGAAAAAAAATCATAAACATGTGTTTTTTTTTCTTCTGTCCCCGCTATGTTGCGCGCAGGTACCAATACGAGACAGACAAACTCTACGTCAGCGAGCTCATGATCGACAACTCTCAGCTGACCGACTCGGGGGACTACCAGTGCCGGGTCAAGAACCAGGACTTGGCTGTAGTCAGGATCTACGTGCTTCCTAGTGAGTCGCTGTGCCGCTATTTGCGTGCGTGTGTGTTTGAGTCGAGGTGTGCGTGTTGCTGTAAAACAGTGTGTGTGTGAGATTATGTGTACGTATGCACGTATGCATAGTGTGTGTGTGCGTGTGTGTGTGCGTTTGTGTGTATGGTGTGCGTGTAAGATAGAATTCGCGGAAGTCGGCGTGTGTCCAGCTGAATAGAAAAGTTGACCTTTGAAGGGGAGACTATCAGTAGCATCAAATCCTTCAAAGGGATGTAACTATATTCTCTTTTTTTTCAATTTGTCTTTGAAAAGATAAATGTGTTGGCATTTATTTTACTTAACAAAATCTAAAAACAATGACAAAGAGGGCCTATTTTTTAAAATTATGTTTTCTTACTTTATCAAAATAGAAATCTATTGTTTTATAATTTTTTATTTATTTATTTATTTTTATTTTTGCAATTTGAAAAAGTAATTATTTTTAGTGACCAATTATAATTTAACATTTTAGATACAAATATTACCAATGGTAAATCAGAGGATATGTCACCTTTCTTAGGTAAGTCTCCAAGCATTGTCTGTAGTATGCATTCGTACAACACATTTGGGGTCATCCATAAATGACGTCACGCTTTTTTGACAATTTTTACCCCCCCCCCCTCCTTTCCCTCAGTCACACATCGTCACAAAAAGTCAGATCACCCCCAAAAATGACGTCATACCTCAACCTATCCCCCTCCCCTTCCTCAAAATTGCAGTTGTTATTTTTCCAAAATCTTGTCAACATAGAGCATTTAATCAATTTCTACTATGGTTTATTAAAACTGTTTTCTAAAACACGAAATAACATTGATAAATTTTGCTTTTTCATAATGCAAAAGTGTGACGTCACTCAATCTGACCACCCCCCCCCCCCTCATCAGACACCGTCACAAAATTACAGAGCCCCTACCGCCTACGAGGGTGACGTCATTTATGGACGACCCCTTTTAGCAATCATTCCTTTTCATTAAAAAATCCCGGTATTTAAAGTCTCCCCGTCACAAAATCAACATTTGTATTTATCTTGCTTTGAAAAAAAAATGTCAATTTCTTTAAAACCAAATTTCACTTGACTAAATGAATTTCCAAAAAGATTTGATTCTGTATTAGTTAAACAAGTATATAGATCTAGCAGAGGCGTAGCGACCCTTCCCGGCGCCTGGGGACATACTTTCAATTTGGCGCCCCCTTGGGAGCAAATTTTTCATTTGCTACCCCCCCCCCCTCAAACTTTCGATTTGCACCCCCCCCCCCCTCAAACTTTCAATTTGGCGCCCCCCCCCCCTAAGGTCGGCGCCCGGGGACATATGTCCCCCCCCCCCCCCTCGCTACGCTACTGAGATCTAGTCTACTTTTTATTCAGGCAAAATTTGTTAAGCAGTGAGATGGGTGACTAAAAACTTGGATCTTCAGTATTCTTCACATGAAAACATCGTCTAAAACATTTATTCAATGTATAAATGTAAAACTCTAACAAATATGTCTAACAAGTTTATCGATGTAAAAATATTTAGCACATGCTATATATTGTATTGACAAATTGTGAATGACTAACTGAAAACAGAAATAACTGAATGTAAATGGAATGTCAACAAAAACTTCATGGTACAAAAAAAATACTTTTATAAGTCTGATAATACGCATGCATGGGGTGATTTATGACTTATGTTAAATCTTGGGTTAGGTTAAGTTAGGATGGGTTGGGGTTAGGGCAAGTGTTAGGGTCAGGGTTAAATGTAGGTCTAGAGTTGGTATTATGATTGATGTTGGGGTTAGGGTCAGCTATAGGTTTGGGCCAGGGTTCTTCAGGATTGGGGGGGGGGGGGGGGAGGGGAGGGGGGGGGGGGGGTTATTGACAGGGGTTTAATGACTCTGAAGGGGTAATGTCCTAGACTTATTTTTATAACAAGCATTAGAAAATCAGACAAGCTAGTTATGTGTCCTTTAACAGATAAAATAATAAAACTGTACAACAAAGTTTTAGCAGATTTTTTTTCTTTCAGTAAAAAATTGAATGCATGCAATACCTGTTTATTGAATTAAATGTTGGTTTTTTTTCACATTATCAAAACTATTTAAATATGATTCTACCAATTAATGTTGGTCATTTTTCCTCATTATCAAACCTATTTAAATATGACTTTAACAACTAATGCTGGTCATTTCTTCACATTATCAAAACTATTTCATTTAAAATATTTGATTATATCAACTAATGCTGGTCATTTCTTCACATTATCAAAACTATTTCATTTAAAATATTTGATTATATCAACTAATGCTGGTCATTACTTCACATTATAAAACCTGTTTAATTTAAAATATTTGATTATATCAACTAATGGTGGTCATTCAAACAATATAAACCTGTTTAATTTAAAATATTTGATTATATCAACTAATGCTGGTCATTACTTCACATTATAAAACCTGTTTAATTAAAAACATTTGATTATATCAACTAATGCTGGTCATTACTTCACATTATAAAACCTGTTTAATTTAAAATATTTGATTATATCAACTAATGCTGGCCATTCAAACATTTCTCTTTGCAGGTGCCGACAGTCTCAAGACCAAAAACATGGCCGTCTCCCTGCCCCACATTTCCAGTATTTGCTCCATCATTGCTTGCTGCAATACCATTTTCAACTTCATGTATGTGATACCAGCACTGTGTCATCTACTCTCTGCTTTCTTTTGGAGAACTCTCCACTTTTTGAATCACAAAGTTAAACACCATGCAGACCCAACATAGAGATAGTAATTTTATTTTGTTACATTTTTTTTTTTAAAGTGGGTCATTAAGTTTAAATGAATTAGCTGTGCAAATGCTACAGATATAATGTAAGGAATGCTAATTAAGTTTGTTTATGAGAGAAATCAAGAAAGTTTACTAGTAAATTTTCATCTACAAAAATTGTATTAGATTGTACAAAACATGATGTGCTTACATAAGTTTTTTTTTGTATTTTATATAGCAAAATCATTGTTTAGACTAGTAGACCTAGGCACCTACAGTGTATGTTATGTTAGGGTATAGAGAAGAATGTGTGTTAATGTAGCAAATCATATTCATCAAGAAATTGCAGTAGGTGCCAATATGTAATGTAAAGCTTTTATATGCAGCGGCTTATCCTAGTATAAACAACTCTTGTTTACTTTTTATATATAGGCCAATGTGGCGGCTGCTAGTATTTTTTATGATAATTCGTAAATATAAACTTTCTGATATTTCTCAAAAACACTCAAGCTGTAAATAAGGCATATGTATTTGTTATTGTATCGGGTTTTTTTTTACATTCATAAAATCATGACGCTTAATGGAAATGGTAGAACATTAATAAAATTTAAAATATCATCTTCTTAGTGAAAGTGTTTGAAGTTGTGATTGGTATAATTGCTTCTAATTTAATAACTGAACCTTCAACTGCATGGTTTGCAATCTTATAAGATTATTATTTGTCATTCCTTGTGAGGACGTTTATAAAAATATTTGCTTGGGCAAATGTGATTTGTGCCTGTTGAGAGTGACATGTATTTTTTATAGGTAATTCATGTTGGGGAAAGTCAAGGAGACTGGAATAGTGCTGACCACACTATCCCTTTGTAAGTCTAGGTCATAGAAACGGGTGAAATCTACATCACTTGCCCCATGGTCCGTCATGTTCAAAAAGGAATATTACAACATTTACAGTACACTTTGTCTATAAGAAAAGTAGATTTATACATTTTTGATTAAGGAACTAGTTCTATATTATCAATAAAGAGCTTTGTGTTTTATTAAGAGATTGGTTTTAAAGGCATTTTAGGTATTTCAAATGTTTTGTCTTTAAGATATTTTGTTTTCGAACAAGTTATCAATGTGTGCCTCTTTTTTTAACCTTCTTTCTTAAAAAATCAGTGATGTATTTTATTTCAGTTGGTTTCTTAAAAAATTGTGTGAAGATTTTAATTTATAAATATTTATTTATAATTATGATAACAAATACTGGTGTATACATTTTGGTTTATTTAAAACTTTAAAATTCTTTGTGTAATATTATATATATATATATATATATATATATATATATATATATATATATATATATATATATATATATATATATATATATATATATATATATATCAATCGATGTATATATATATATATATATATATATATATATATATATATATATATATATATATATATATATATATATATATATATATATATATATATATATATATATATATATATATATCCAATTGGTTCTTTCATACCCCTTAGTTATAGCTGTTCATAATTTGTATTACATACTTATTTGATTTTAACAACCCAACAGCTAACTAATCCTTCTTAAAAAAATGTATATACTTTTGAATATGTAAAAATAACTAATAGTTATTTCAAAATACTTCTCTTTTTACCTTTCTTCATAACTAATTTGCATTTGTCCAATTAATATTGTTTATTTTTTTTTAATTTTTTTTTTTTTAATTTTCTTCTTGCTTGTGAAAGTAATTCTATTGAAACAGTTGTGAAACTATCAAGATGCCAGAATTGAGCAATAATTGATGTTTTTGTTTATGTCATAAGCTAAAATACACTCCTAAACAAAATTACTTTGTGAAATGTGTATTTACTATTAGTGTATTATGCAAAATTAGGTAAATTTTGCATTAAGAATTAAAAAAATAAAACACCGGAGAAGTTAAAGCTTCAATACAAATGCTTAAAAAGATATTTGATGATTCTATAAGTCAGATCTGTGATGTTGATTTCTGTGTTCCTGTAGCTTGTGTCATCTCATGCGAGGTTGTTTTTTTTCCGTGTCTAACATGGTCTGATTCATGCCTTCATCACTATTAATGCTATTGTTCTCTTGTCCCTTTTTTTTACACATTGTTTTTTTATGCCAGAAATGAATGTTTATCCATATTTAAAATTCATGAATGGCCCATGTTGAGCTACATCAATTTTACACCATTGTTCTCATTATTTTAAATGTAATATTCTCTAGGATTTCAAACTAGACTAAACATGAAAATAAATACAAAGTTGTCTGCTGTTTATCAATTTTAAAACATAATACTTACTAGATCTAGGGGATCATCCTCATTATCAAATATTAAAACTTAGAGATACTTTCTAATCTTGTTAGACTTCAGTTAAATTTTAAAAAAAAACACCAGGTTTGCTTTAGCTTAAGATCTACATTAGGATCCTGGTCAATAAATCCATGTTTTTTTTATTAAATAAAATTATATTTTAAAAGAGGTAGCCTGCAAAGATACAGTTTAGAAATTATTTAAATTCAAAATAAATTGCTAATGTAAATATTATGATCATCATCTTTTCCCCTTTATGCCCAAGACACATGGGACAAAAATATTATGATACTCTTTGTATAAATGTGTGCTGTTTAATTCAATAAAATATGCAATGTGTTGGTGTTATATTTTTTAAAGAGTTTAACATCCATCAGAAGATTTTGTAAGATTTAAGATAAGGTAACCATGTATGCATATATTATTTTGGTTTTAAATTGTTTTTATAGCATCAGCCAATGAACAGGTTTGGGTGATAAGAAAATTTTGGAACTGAAACTAAAACAATGTATATTACAACAGAGTAGTATTGAATCAAATTTTAATTCAAGTTAGCTGCTAATGTTACAATTACTTTCTATTTTGTATTTTTTTGAACGTACGATTCAATAGATCTTGCATTTATGCATTACGAGAAATCAATTTTTGTTTGAAAATAAGAGATGATTAAAGGTGATTTTTGAATTTAGCTGGGTTTTTTCATTACAACCTTTTTTTGTGAACTTTGTTTTCTCTAAATTGTCATGTTGTCATTTACTGTTTATCACTGAAGAATATATTTTATTGTTGTTAATATATTCATTGTTATGTTATGCCGTTCAAATTTTAAAATTTTAAATGCAAATCATTAGCATCAATTTATACAGAATAAAAAAAATGAATAAAGAATCAAAGGTCAACCAGAATGAAACGAAACAGAATAACATATCTAGGCACATATGTACAGAACAGCTCCACGTTGATACACAATAAATGATTGGACAAAATCTACTAAACTTAAAACTATTTGTAAAAGTACCTAATTGCATATGTAGTCACAAAAAGGAAAAACATCCAAATTGTTGATTGAAGATGCAGATAAATTCCAATTCCATGCTTAAAGAAGTAAATTACAGATTAAAGGACGTTAAAAGGTGCCGAATTACATAACTAGACAAATAAATGCGTAAAGATGCACATAGATGCACATACATGCATATTTGACGCTTGAAGAAGTAAATTGGAGATCAAAGGAAATTTATAATGTGCCGAATTATGTAACTATGCCCTTATTAGCATAAAGATTCACATGCATGCATACTTGACGCTTAGGGAATTAAATTAAAGATCGAAGGAAGTTTAAAAGGTGCCGAATTACGTAGATATCCCCATATTAGCATAAAGATGCACATACATGCATATTTGACGCTTAGAGACGTAAGTTAAAGATCAAAGCTACTTAAAAAGGTGCCGAATTACGTAACTAGGCAAACATATGCATTAAGATGCACATAAATGCATATTTGACGCTTAGGAAAGTAAATTAAAGATCAAAGGACATTAAAAAGGTGCCGAATTCCGTAACTAGGCAAACATGCACAAAGATGCACAATCATGCATATTTGACGCTCAGGGAAGTAAATCCAACATCAATGGAACTTTAAAAGGCGCCAATTACGTAACTAGGCAAACATATGCATAAAGATGCATATAGATGCATATTTGTCTCTTAGAGAAGTAGATTAAAGATCAAAGGAAATTTAAAAGGTACCGAATTACGTAACTATGCCCTTATAAGCATAAAGATGCACATACATGCATATTTGACGCTTGGGAAAGTAAATTAGAGATCAAAGGAAATTTAAAAGGTACCGAATTGCGTAACTAGGCAAACATATGCATAAAGATGCACATACATGCATATTTGACGCTTAGGGAAGTAAATTGCAGATCAAAGGAACATAAAAAGGTGCCGAATTACGTAACTATGGCTTAATTAGCATAAAGATGCACATAGATACATATTTGGTGCTTAGGTAAATAAATTAAATATCAAAGGAACTTCAAAAGGTGCCGAGTTACGTAACTAGGCAAACATATGCATAAAGATGCACATACATGCATATTTGACGCTTAGGGAAGTAAATTAAAGATCAAAGGAAATTTAAAAGGGGCCGAATTACGTCACTAGGCCCTAATTAGCATAAAGATGCACATACATGCATATTTTACGCTTAGGGAAGTAAATTAAAGATCAAAGGAAGTTTAAAAAGTACCAAATTACGTAACTATGCATAAAGATGCTCATACATGAATATTTGACGATAAAGGAAGTAAATTAAAGATCAAAGGAAATTAAAAATGTATCGAATTACGTAACTAGGCCCTATTTAGCATAAAGATGCTCATACATAAATATTTGACGACAAAGGAAGTAAATTAAAGATCAAAGGAAATTAAAAATGTATCGAATTACGTAACTAGGCCCTATTTAGCATAAAGATGCACATGCATGCATATTTGACGCTTAAGGAAGTAGATTAACGAACAAAGGAACTTTAAAAGGTACCAAATTACATAACTATAATCATATCAGCATAAAGATGCACATAGATGCATATTTGACGCTAAGAGAAGTAAAGGATCAAAGGTATTTACAAAGGTACTGAATTACTTAACTAGGCAAACATATGCATAAATATGCATATAGATGCAC